ACATAATATTGTCTCCAAAATTTGACTTAGAGTATTTAGTTTAGACTTAGTTTTGTTTAGTTCAAACTAGTTTAATAAACTCCTCATATTTTTTAAGTAGTGTAGTACTTTAACTAATAATATACAATGACAAGTTAGTTGCTTTGTAAAAGTTTGTAAAATATTTAAGTATTTTTCAATATCTCAATAAAGACACACCATTGCGGCATGATTGTAGGTTAAAAAAAAAAAAAGAAAGAAAACTCGAATAGTTACTTAAAAAGAAAGTTAGTAAATAGTATGGAGAAAATTAATCTGAGAAAATAGTCAAGGTATAGTCATGATCTGTCATTTTAACTATAAGATTGTTTAGAAATAGTTTTCATCAAATGCTTAGAATACTCTCTAAACAATAAAAATAGAAATGAATATAATATAGAAATAGAATTAGATATTATTTATATTATACTATTTCTAAACTACCAAAAAAATATCAGGAGAGCACAATCATTGAAAATTTCTTGTTCTCTACTTAAATTTGATAGAATAATGATAATAAGTATAACTCTAAAAACCCAAGACTCAAGAAATGATCAAATTGAATAAATAGAACAAGTATTAATAAAAGACTAAGAACAAGAAATATTTAAAGACAATATTAAGCAAGGAGTATATTAAGATTACCTACTCAAAATTCTTCAACATAATCAAGAATCACAGGAAAATCTTACTTTTTACTTTGATGGATCTTTGATTAACAATGAAAATAAAAATATAAGAATAGTAATAGTATGAATACAAACTAAAGAAACTAAAAAAGAAAGTAAATTTCAGATAGAAGTAAAAAATTGGTTCTTATCTACAAGAGCAGAATTAGTAACTCTAGTTACAATAGTTTTAATGATTCTAATTGATAGTATAATAGAAATCTTCACTGATAATTAAGTTTGTATCTCCAAATGAAAAAAACTTAAAAAAGAAAATTCCAAAATAATATACAAAAGATAATTAAAAGAAAATAATTGGTTATTATGGGCAAGAATACTTGATCTTGTAAAAAAAAAGCATATTCAATTAACATTAATAAAAGTCAAAAGTCACTTTAATAATTCATGAAACAAAAAAGCAGATTGATTGACTAAAGAGATATTAAAACTTCTAGCAATAGAATGGAATAGTCTCAAATCAAATAAGATGCTTATTGAAATATTGTGACAAAAGGTGGTAAAAACAAAAACCTTGAAAAATCATAAAAAATGGGATTAAATATAGGATGAAATAATTGAGTTTTGATTCTTGTCAAAATTTCAAAATGTGATTTGCAGTAATGATCTGCAATAGTGATTTGCGGATAATAATATTAGAAGTTGGAAGGGTTTCTATCCAAACTACTAATGGAGTAATAAATCATTTCCGAAGTTGCACTTGGAATTTTGAATAAAACTTTGATGAGTGAATTAGAGATTTAGCTTTAGTGTTACATATTAATATATAACTTATAATTATTTAATAAAACATACATAACTAGTCTAACAGAAGGTTAAAAAAAAAAAATTATTTTTTCAATTGTATCTAAAAAAGGTAAACTTCAATAACAGGTGAGTTGATATGTGAAAGTCATTTAAAAGTATAAATATTTTTTTTTAAATACACAATAAAAAGACAAGCTATGTTAGCCTAATAGTGAGTTAAAAAAAATAGGTAATTTTTTTTCAGATGTTTTTATGAACCCTTTTATTTTGAATGCCTTTATAAGATCAAACTCATTTTTTACTTTTCAATAATACTTTAAAATTTTTTTCTTAAACACTATATACTTTAAATTGTTATCTAATGTTCTTATTTAAAGGTTATGCTTATATTGAGTTGAAATGAACGCGTGACAATTATACGCGTTGCATAATGTCACGTGGTTATGCATATATATTTAAAAATTGATTGAAATTCTGCAAAAATGATACACACATCACTCTCTTTTCGGAACACCAATGTCTGAATCAACTGCGGAAGTCAAGCTGGAGTCTTCGGAACCAAGTCAAAAGACTCCAGAAGAAATTATGGAAGAAAAACAGCTTATTCTAAAACAAGTCGAATATTATTTCGGAGATACAAATTATCCCAAAGACCTTTTTCTTAAAGAATTAAGTGAAAAAGATCCTGATGGATGTATCCTTCGTTTAAGATATCTATTATATCTATTGAGCAGTTAATTATACTATCCTTAATGGAAAGCCGTTGATGATATTCAGGGGTTCCTATTGCTATGATTCGTCAATTTCGTAAGATGCAAGTTTACACTGACAACGAATTAATAGTTGAGGCTTTGCGAGAATCCCCAAAACTATTAGAAGTTGACGAGTCGGGTACGAAGGTTCGCCGAAAGACGCCAGTATTGTTACCTATTCCTGGGCATGTTAAATCATCTCCTATGTGGAACTCTATTTACGCAGTAATATATTCACTATTCTTTCTGCTTGTTTCCTCTTATTCTCTGATGGCTTAAAAAAGTTTTTTATAATTTTAGAAAGGGTTCACTAAAAATCTAGAACATAACCTGACGAAACGAGTTACCGCCTTTTTTAAAAAACACGGCAAGGTTGTAAAAATCAAGGAGCGCCTAGATGACAACAACCAGTTTAAAGTGACGTGTCATTTTTTCTAAAATTATTAATTCACATTTATCAGATTGTAGTCTTGATTGAATGAAATTGATTTATTTTTAGGGATCATTCTTTATTCAATTTGACTCTCACGAAACAGCAAAAAAAATATCTGAGATGAAATTGGAGTTCAATGGAGCTCCAATAAAGATGATGATGAAGTAGCGTAATGCAATTTTTAAATAATTTTTTTCGTATTCTCATAAATTTACTTATCTCTACCATAAATAATTCATTTAGGTTTGATTATTGCGAGATGAAGTGTATAGAAAAAGGATTGGATCCCAATACTATGCGCATGCAAGGACAAAAAAAGATTAAAGATAAAGTTCTTAGTTTTAGAAAAGGCTGTTTGCTGAAATTTGAGGGAACGGGTCCAGATGCAACCTGGGAAACCATTAGGGTATGATATGGTTGAAACTTTTCAATGAATTAAGTATTGCAAGTAATTCAATTTTACATCTATTTTTCTACGTAGAAAGAGGTGCATGATAAATATGGGAAAGTCTCGTTTGTTTCTTTTAATTATCTCGAGAGAAATGGTATCATACATTTTGAAGAAGCGATTGCCAAAGACTTAGCTACCAAGATTTCTAATGACAATGTGGAGTTCGATGGGGTCAAACCGAGTTTTTCGTTTGTTGAAGGTTAATTAAGTCTCTAATTTATTGAATTGTGTCTGAAAGTGATATTTGGAATTAACGTTGAACTTTTTGATAGGTCAGGAAGAAATAGACTATTATCAAAGGAAGAGAGAATATATTAATGTAAAAAAACTATATGAACCTAAAAAAAAAAGCACATAAAGGAAACGGTAAAATGAAAAAAAGTGAGTCGACTCAAAATACAACCGCCGCCCCTGAGGTCTGTCCCACATCTACAGCTGGAAGTGAGAGTAATCCAACTGACGTAGCTGAGTCTTCCCAAGAAAGCAATGTCAAGTCAGAAGAGGATGCTAATTTTTCTAAGGAGACGGATTCCAAAGAAACGACTGCAGTTAATTCCGTATCCGCGGATCCCGATGCAAAAGTTGAGGGTCTGAATCCAGAGGCAAAAATTGAGTCGGATTCCGATGCAACTATTAAGGGCCTGAATTCGGATACTTCTATTGTTAGTTCTGGAAGCAAACGTAAGTTGAATGATAGCACTGATCCGGATGATTCACCGAAAGAAAACAAGGTCATAAAATTGGATGCAGTTGAGGATTCAAGCTCTTAGCTTACTCTATTTCTGTCGGATTGAGAGTTAAAAATTTTTTAAACAGGTGTATATTGAAATTACTAATTAGGTAATTAGGAATGTAATATGCCAATGAAATGCTTTTCAATTCACAAATAAAAGAACCAAAAGGTTTTCTTTTATGATTTATTCCTGTAGTAAAAATTAATTAATTCATAAGTTTAGAACAGACTAATCGTTGGAAGTGATCAAAAACTCTGTAATAAAAAGTACTTTTAAATAACAAAATCAGTTTAAACATGAATTTACAGGAGTGATCTATTGTGTTTCATTATTTGGAGGGTTACCGCTGGCATCTAAATATAAATATATATATAATGTTGGAAGATTAGATAAATGGTTATGTGATTATCCATTATCGAGATACGAAGTTTTTTTTTTAATACAATGATTACCTTGGTTACTTGCAAATTGACGCGCCCTTTATGTTTGTTTGGCATTAAAGAAATAGTTTAAAACAGATTAATAACATAAATTAATAGGTTAATAATGAAATCAAACCAAATTATATTACACACATATTCACTAGCTCTGGATTATTCATAAGTTCTTCTATGCTCGGCGCACTCCCTCCGCGCATCATGTTTTGTGCCCTGTGTATACAATAAATGTATATCCATTAATATGTAATCACGTGTTAAATAAATAAGCCATATGAAAAAAGGTTAATAGTTTAATTTAATTACATTTGAGTAACATTAGGATTAGTCATAATTTCATTAAGCGCTCCAGATTGCATCATCTGATTTGCCATATTCATCAAGGCGGGATTATTCATCAAAGAAGCCAAATCGAACCCGCCACCACCACCACCACCACCGCCCAACCCGGAAAGTCCCGCGAGTCCTGCAAGTCCTCCAAGATTACTTCCAGGGGTTCCGCCACGAGCGCTTCTGTCTGATGTATTGTCGACGTTAGACTCGCTCATCCTTTGCTTGGCAGCATCAAGGGCAGATTTCATAGTAGCGTTATTGGAATCAAGAGAAAGACCCTTTTCATATGCTTCAACTGCCTCCTTATACTTCCCTATGGAAAAGTAAGCATGTCTTATAATCGGAATAAATGATTATCAAAAAAAAAAAAAAAAAAAAAAATTTTAAAAAAAACATAAAAAAAAAAAA